TGTGTGTGTGTGTGTGTGCCAAGTACATGAGGCTAAGTTAAGGATGAGAGTCTGACAGTGACGTCAAAGGTTATTAAGGTCTTACTCTGCTGCCGGAGGGATGGATTTAGTTCTTATTACACATAACATAAGATACAGTACAGGATGAAATATTTGTACTCAGCCTATCACAACATGACAGAGAGAAAGAGACTTACTAGGCTGTGGTGTTGGGAGGATGTGAAGCAACAAAAAAATATATGTACAAAGGCAATTCTCTTAGTTTCTTTTATTATAACTGGTCTTTTAATGCAGCCTCTCATGCAGTTTCATGTTACAGAAAGCCTCTAATGCACCATTCAGAGGTTCAGATTTCAAAAGGTTCACTTTATTTCCCTGTTACTGTGGAGTATCAAGTCGTTTAACTAAAGCTCAGTTGTGATATGTTTTGTTTTATGATTTTAGAAAAATGTCTAGTTTACTCAATTTATGAAGAAGGCAAAACCCTATTGGATGAATTGGGAAATGTGTAGTAATTATTTTAATAAGATAAAACAAATTATTCTTTCTGTTTTTTTGGTATGCTAGTAAAGAACTACGTCTAAAAAGTGTTTATAACCGTCCTGAACTGTAAAAAATTTACCCATTATAGAGAGGAATAAATGTGATAATCGTTCAATCAAATCAAATACCAGCACAGCCTCTCCTGAGAGGTATTCATGGTGTTGCATTCATTTTGTGTGTAATATATAAATGATTGAATTGTGTAAAGAATAAAAAATGAGACCTTGACCAGGAAGTTGATCGCTGCATGATGTAGGCGTCACTATATTGGATTGTTGGTTTTGAAAAGTTACATAAGTTGTTAAATATAATCCCCAAATTCACACATTGGAAAGGTGTGTGTGTGTGTGTGTGTGTGTGTGTGTCGGTTCACTTTTATTTATATAGCACATTTCATGTGCTGTTAAACTATTAGACCAGCACTTTGGTTGAAGCATACTGACACTTTTATTGCCAATAAATCCCTAGGAACAACCACAACCAACAATGTGTTAGTCCGTCTTTATACCCAGTCTGTGGCACTCGAGCTCACTGGTTCCTACTGAAGAAAGGGACACTGTCGTTTTCAGCAAATAGATAGATACTCAACATGAGTACATTTTAGATTTGTTGGGAACTATTTCCATCTGCGGATTAATACACATTCTGTGATTAGTTTACAGCAGGATGGTGTTTTTCAGACTGACTCAAACATAAACTACAGTGCCCACGTTCATGCTAATAAAGGAACATATCACACAGTGCAAAATTATGACTCTTCAAAGGGTTTCAACAGTGTTCGGACAACAATGGAGATCTATGGCACACAGATAAGCTATATCAAGGTTTGGCTACAGAATCAATACTTATTGGTAGTATAAATTCATTGTTTTTTTTTATCTTTTAATGGGATTTGTTAACAATTAAAAGAAATTATCCTTTAAAACCTACAATATATGGATTGTATAATACTGTATATTACAAATATTGTTTACTGTAGTCGATTCATTATCAACTATTAAATTAATCGCCAACTATTTTGATAATATATCTATTTTATAACTATATCTATATTATGACAGTAAACTGGATATTTTATCTTTGGGTTTTGGACAAAACAAGACGTTTGAGGAGGAAAATGAGAGAATAATCATTAGTGGAAGCCCTACTGTAGCCAAAGTCCATTCTCTACATGCACTGAGCCTGTTGGATCATGGACCATGGGTGGCTGCAGATATCCCAGCAGGCATTGGACAAGAAGGAGGGTACAGTCATAGCAACAAACACCTGCAGTGTGGGCAATTAAAAGCATCACATTCATTAGTGTGAGGCAACAATACTGACCACTAAACCTCAAGAACCCATGATTCAATATAAAAAAAACGTATAATTTTGTACAAATAATCAGTGTTTACTTAATGATACTGTTTACTTCCATCTCCGCTATCGTAGTGATGAGGGTAGAGACAGAGTTGACACGAGAGCTGGAAGTTAATCCTTACTGACTCCAACTGTCTGTGCGAGGAGACGCCACAGACTCTAGGAGTTACCTAAAGATGGGTCACACTTAGTGTACACGCACTCACTCAGCTCCCTTCACACAGCAACTCAACCGCTCAGTGAACAGATGGTAACTCATTAAACATGCTGACATGAATATCTCTGCAATACCTCACAGCTGTCATTCCTTAGCATTCAATTATACCCTACTTCATTTCAGAGGTCCAGTGTGTAACATTTAGGAGGATTTATCGGCAGAAATGGAATATAATATTCATAGTTGTGTTTTCATTAGTGTGAAATGACCATGTTTCTACAGTAGCCCAGAACAGACAAACCAAACGCTGGATCTAGAAAGTTTCTCCTACACACTTCACAGTCCGTTCTCATTCCCACGTCGTCAAATACAGACACCAGTGGTGCTCAGTTACTTGCAATCTGAAACTTCACCACTAGATGGTCACTAAATCCTACCAACTGGTCTATTTGATGTCAAGTGTTTAAACTTGGAGGTACATAAATTAGGTCTACATGAAAACCTTCTTTGATAATTTGCCTGTTAAATTAATAATGCATGAGGATGCATAGTGGCTATGAAGGTCCAGTGTGTAGGATTTAGGATTTGGGGAAGTTTCAGATCGCACCTCTCTTTACAAGCATGAAGGAGAAACTGTGGCTACAAACTGTTGGGCACACTGTATTTTGTTTTACTACCTTAATATATATTTTAGTAACTGTAAACAGCAAAAATAAGGAAGCTGACATAATTATTATCATATACTGTAACAATTATCTTTTTCACTGCTATTATAAATGTTTCTAAGAAATATTCATCTGTGTTAGCATTACAAATAGCAATTGGAAGTGACCTGGAGACAAAATAAGAATAGAACACAGTAAACTGCACTGTTTGTTTGTTTGTCTCTCTCAGGTTGTTGAAGACACAGTCACTCGAGTGGTATTACACTAATGTGAAGAAGCGCTTCAAGAGGTTCGGCAGCGCCAAAGTGCTGAAGACTCTTTACAGGAAGCACCTGGCAGAGCACAGTGCGCTTTCAGATCTTACTGGTAAACCACTCTGTTCATTAGAGCTGCGACTGAAACATGTCAATTAACTTAAGTGATATGACTTATTGAAGAACCAGTTGGGTTAATTAAGGGTTAACCTTCACTCAGAGTTCTTAACTTGTCTTATGTGACACACTTTGGGGAAAATATGACATCTGAAATCCTCACGACTTGTTCAGATCTTTTCTACAAGCCTAATCCTGTATTGAATGCTGTAAACAGATTATAGTAGGGAGGATCTACTTTCATGAGAAATGTGTTCTTATAAGAAGAATGTGTCTACTGTGCCCAATGTGAACATTTCTGTGCATCTGTGCGATTTTTTTATTTTTTTTTTGGCTGTCTCGTTTCTCAATGCAGTGTTATGAAGAGAGTGAAACAGGATTAAGCTCTAGCTTCGCTTTCATCTCACATATCATCAGATTACTTCTTCCAGAATCCAAAAATAATTTTAAATGTTTGTTTGCTTCCTTCTGTGGATGTACCCAATATACCCATATCACCGATTGGTTTGACTGAGAATGACTTGTCAATCACAAGGTAACTGTGCCCTGAAGCAAACCGAGCTGTATCGTCTATTTTACTCTAAATTGAGCAATAATTCACGAAATGAACATCATGCTGTTTTGAAGAAGACTTTAAACTAAATTAGCGATTGAGAACAGAAACTCATCAAGAATCTTTAGTGAGCTAGTGTGAGAAGTCAGGCCATTTCTCCATAACACTCAATACTATTGGGCTTCTTTTCTTGCATCCAATGGAGCTGCCCCCTGCTGGTCATAAGATAAAATGCATGTTTAAGAATAGCAAATTAGTTTGAAGATAAATTATGACTTTAAAAGATTCCTCTTATATTCTCTTTTTTTTTATTGAAAAGTAACTCTAGCCCTGCTATCAACTATGGAAAACAATCTCATATCTCTTATCATGTCTACTTTGTTATTTTCAAACCATTTTCATTTTCTGTCTGAAGCTAAAAAGCTTCCGTACATCAGATTTTAAACAGGACACAGCATCCTCAATTTCATCCTCAATTTCAAAGGCTTTGCCTGCAGCTGCCACGTCTTTGCTCCTTCTTTTAGAAACTTACATGAGTGACATAACGATAGCTCAGCTTGTTTCTCTGATAACTTCAGATCCAGACGTCTGATGACTAAAATATATAATTAAAAACAACCACAACACTGAAGCATGCACAAATGTGATATGACGCAGGTGACCGGGGAAACTCACCTTTACCTGAATAAAATGAGAGATTTCTCTGAGTTTGATCATTGTTGGAAACACAACTCAACAAAATATACAACATAGGTCTAGTGTTTATAGACATTTTAATGCAGACTATTACATATAATAGCTTTAATGTGACACCTGTAGCACAAATACAGGCAGGGTTATAGGAGCTTTGCTGCAGCCAACGATGCTGAAAATGTATTCGTATTACTATACAGTGCTTTGAATAAGACTGTTCACCCAGCAGCATATGCTCTGGCATGTTTCTCTAGTCGGGGACAGAGCGGAGGAGTGCGTCTCCGGGCCATTAGTTCAGAGTCTCTGGTCTGATTGAACAGACAAGGGATTTTCAGAGAATTATGAGTGTTTTGTGGAGGCGAGGTCGCTGGCTGTGGATGATGCAGAGCTGTGACCCCTGTGGGAGGACGACTGATGTGGGCTGACCACCATCAGGCCACCGTTCAGTGTCTCAGTGCAGTTTACATAGCTCTGTTTTCATTTTCCACTCAAAAAAACACACTATATCATACATCTTAATTTGTTTATGACTGACCCGCACTGTAAATTCAGCAGTGTTTATTCAGCTGCCAAATCCGATCTGTATCGTCTGACTCATGGAAAGCCCTGCTAATGCTTACTTTGCATAAGAACAATGCGAGCTGCATGAATAGCATCAGAAATAATAGAGCTGACATTTGGGAACTAATAGCTGTGGGTATATGGCATCATCTTGTGTGAGATTTGTGCAGCAGTGAGACATTCTGACTCAAGACGCTGCCAAAGCCCAGCAACACATCGTCCTTTAAAGAATAAAGCAAAATAACAACTGAGAAGCAAGAGAATGTATACAGACGTAAACATATGTGATGCTTATTTTGCAGTATAGAAGTGTAGACGTTGAGAGCAACATAGAAAGCAAAAAGCAATTTCTATAAAATCCAGACCAGGCGTCCAATTGAGACCTGCGTTCATTTTTATCAAAACATGAAGCCACACCAGGCTAGTAAAGGGGACCTGCGTCTAACTGGGCTTTTATTTTAAGTTTCACAGTATATATTGTTTGGTTTTAATTAAAGTCTCAGTCAACTTGTTCTTTTACAATTATATTTTCTCTCCCTTTTTAATTTTTATTTATATAAAAATAAAAATAAAAAAATAACACAGGAGACAGAAAAACAAGACTAACAATCTACAGTTAGTGGCTCTGTGACACTGTACTTAGTCACAGCAGTTCTTTAAGCTAAATGCTAACGTCAGCATGCTAACATGCTCACAATGATTATTCTAGCATTTAGCAGATTTAATGTTTTTCATGTTCCAACATTTGCGTATTAGCACTGAACACAAAGTACAACTAAAGCTGATCAAATGTGATTATAGTTCTGCAGGTATTTGGTAATAAACCAAAGTATCTAAATTAAAAATTGGACCTTAAAATTGGGCTGGAGGAAAATCCAGAGCATCTCCAAAGTTATTACAAATCCTCCTGAGGGACATTAATCTGTGCACTGAATTTCAGGGCAATCCCTCCAGCAGCTGTTTTAACAATCAAAACCACGAATGTGAACCTAATGGTGGCGCTCTTGTCTGCAGTGCCATCAAGTGATTGTTGTTGTAGACAAACTGAATGAGTTTTATATTGAAGTAGAGTGTATAAGTACGGTACATTACAACATCTGCTCTGCCATGTTGTCATACACTTGTAAGGTTTTTTAAAACGTGTTCAACACTGAAAGAATAATTTTTAGAGTTGCTTCTCCTCTGATTTCCAGTTTTCTTGAGTATCTTTGGTTAGAATTTGTTATACTTTATCAAGAATGATAAACGTATGATTATAGCTTCTACTTGAGTTAATCTGCATTTATAATACACACGTTTCTATATTTAAACATAATATAGTAACATACATATACTCATGTATGCTGTCAGCTCACCTTCCTGGGAGTCTCATGATGCGTTCAGGGGTTACTGTGACCTTTTAGCTGCTGTGGTAGAGGCAACTGTGTTGGTCATGAGTCTTTTTCATGTCCGTGTGCTGGGGCCAAATGTGTCCTGACTCATTAGATGTTACAACACAGATGTCTGCACTCACACGCACACACATCTACCGGGGGTCACAAAAACACAATCCATGCTCCAGCCTCTAAAATACATAGAAGATCCTCATTTTGTCTTTATTTACAGGATATCTTCCATCAGTGAACTTGTGCTTGCCCATAGGGTTTTTAGCAAAAAAGGTTCATATCACTTAGTTTAAATCCCCTCTGTGCCCCTTAAAATGATTGGAAGTGACCCTGTGTACTCTACCGTACCTCCGAACCAGCGCCTCCCGCACACAGATCAGGTCGCCTGGTAATACCACACTCGAAGCCGCTCTAATGCACTTATATAACCACAAATGGCTGCATTGTTGCATGAATATTTACTCGACGTGAAAAGGGCTCAGGGCTCAGAGTTGGAAGGGGAAACTATCTACAGTATGACTGAGCTCTCTGCTGCTCCGTCAAGTTCAAGTCATGAATTTAAAATCTCAAAACCTTCTAATTAAAAGGGATCCTGTACATTAGGCTGTGCAACTAACCTTGTCCACACTAAAAGATGACAACTGTTCTTAATTCTGCTTATAAAGAATTATATTTTATTGTTTTGGGTTTATTTTTTTGGAATTAATTACCTTTTTCTAATGACAGGATGAATGAGGTTAATTCTGTGTGAATCTACTGTATTTGTTTGATGTGCACGTCAACATCTGTCAACATCTGTGTGTGTGCAGAGGGCAGCACCTACGAGGAGAGTATCTGCAATGAGGGCAGCGTCTGTGGGAGCGACTCAGCCTTCTACAGACAAACTGAAGGTGCAGACATATTTTATCATAATGTTACCGATCCTTGTTGACAGTGGACTCATTTTGTAATCGTATTTCTGTGTCAACACCAGTTCTAACACTGTAGATACTGTAGATATAAGACATATTTTTTAGTTGACATAGGTTCATGTAACATTTCAAATAAACTATGCACTTAATAGCAGAAGAAACGATATAAATGCTACAAGCCTCAAGTTTATCCTGATAAAGGGCTTTAATAATAATAATAATAATA